GCCTATTTTAGGAGTCCACCATATCAAGGGAAAGGGAGATCAGGCTTGGCCTTCGCTTTGCTTATGAATCTTGATTTCTTTGCTTTTGAATGACTTGATGGGTCTGGATAATAACAAGAAGAGTCAAGGTAGCGAAAGTAGCTATACTCTAGTAGCTGGCGGGGCTAGTGCTAGTGGTGAAGGAAATCAAATGGCAGAGAAGACACGGATTCAGACTTCTTTTTTCAAATAGCCCTTGGTGGTATGCAGATTCATTGAACGAAGAAGGCAGTCTTTCTTCCTCACGAACAAGATCGGAGCACCCAAGGTTAGGCACTCGATTGGATGTTCCCGTACGTACTCTAGAAGCAAGATCGCGAGACGTCCCTATAACACATCGCTGACGTCCTCAAGGCTTTCGTTGTCGAAGAGTGAAAGATCTCACAAGTCCTCCATACGTCAGTTTCTATTCCAGCCCAGCAACGAAGGTCGGTCTGCAACATTCCCTGGTACGAGTATGCAGCGTAGTGACTAGTTGATTCTTCAATTCCTTGAAGCCCGTTGCGTAGTCCGTGTCGAGTTGTCCAATCCTTTATCAATAGGTACAACGGCAATCAGCGTCCTTCAATTCATGCTAGTCGTTGAGAACTCAGCATGTCGTCGTATTCTGGCGAACTCCGAACCGTTGTTCCGAGTCAAGTAGCAAAGCTAAGGGTAGGACGAATTATCAAAAATGGAGCATTGCCCTGCTTTCGTGTCGAGAAGCAGAGTAGCAGATGACTTTCCCGAGGTCACAGACGTAACTCAAAAAAACTCATTCCTTTTGAATTAATTTCGAATAGTTCTTATCTTTGAACCACTAACATCCAAGTATCAACGATGCGCGAGACCTTACAAACAATCTGGTAAGCTTGAGTGGACCGACTGAGATCTAAAATACTATGGTTAGGAACAGCTTGACTTATCTCAACAAGTGCAATTTCTTTCAGGCTTATTCACTGAAATATTAGAAACCCTTTTTTCTTTCTTAATGACTTCGCTCTTCACTTACTTCATATCCAACTATTGATAGCCGGCCTAGTTTCAAAGGATACCCAGGGCGCTAAGCATGAATAGGAGACAGTGAAAAACAGCAATCAGTATAAGAACGAAAACAAATAGTAGAAAGGAGTTAACTTGGGTATAGGTTTCTAGCTTGGGTGGGAGGACTCACTCACTAGGGAGGTAGCCGCAAAAATAGGAAACATAGGGAGTAGCAGCAATTTCTAATAGGAAAGTAGGTGTAAGCAGCTACCCGATAGAAGTCTAACGAAAGTAGGAAAGAGTTTATTGAGTGACTTGAGGATAACGAAACCACTATCTATATAGATAGGATTTCCTATGCATAAGATTTCTGAGTAGTACTTGAAGCTTAGCACTAGCATTGGCATTTAGTAGTAGTTCTGGCAATGAGTGACTACCTCTATATACCTTGCTCAGGGAAAGGAATAGGCATATTTCTAAAAAGGATAAGCTGGCAAGCACAGGTTTCTAAACAGGAGTTAGGTATGGGTTGTGTGATTTGAACGACCAAGTAACGGATACAAGACATAGGCCCACTATAAAAAGGAGTTCATTTTTGCGTAACGGTGCAGTACCGGTATATCCATATGGTTTAGGTCAAGTAGTTGGATAAGCTGGATAGGTCAACAAGTGAGTACGTTGAGGGAGCCGTAGTTGATTTGTTTTTTCGTTTTCACGGGCAGAGACAGGTATAGTTGTTTTTACAAGGGCTATTGTTTAGCCAATAGAGACATATTGAATAGGTCAATGCTAGGAATATGCAGTCACAGATAAGATAAGTAAAGAATAAGTGAGTATGTACGAGTCAACTCATAGGTTTAGTAGGGCTACTAGAAAGAGGAGCTTGGGACAGAGCTAGCAAGATATGAACCACGAGCAGAGGTTGTCCCTTGAAAGAAGCACCGACCGGAATAACAGGTATCGAGATATGCATCTGGATAGGTTGTTTTAGCTAGCTAGGCATTTGCTTGTGATTAATACTTCTTAAGGTAGTTAGCTAAGCAAGTATGTATTCACGGAGAAGCAATGGTATAGGTTGAGTAGTACCGGTTTAGAAAGCTAAGTAAAGTATTTCAAGTATGCATGCGTGATAAGTCAAGCAAAACCCGGACGGAGTGGGAGAAGAGATGGATTTTTTGATTTGTTAGAGGAAGGAGATGCGGTGTAATATGTGTATGTAATAGGACTAGAAAGAGGCATGTATGGTATAAGTAAGGAATAGGCTTTCACAGAAAGGCATGGAATAGCTTAGAGGGATAGTATTTAACAAAGAAGCACGTACCGGTATAGGCATCTGGTTAGGTCAACAAGTTGTTGGTTGGCATTCAAGGTATGTGTAACGTTAAGAAACAGGTGCTAGGTATGAACGAGTAAGCTACTAAAAATAGGCGAGATATGGTTTCAATAGCCTAAGAGTGGCATTCATGGAAAGGGATTCACAGATAGGCATTCAGTGGGCATGGGAAAGTCAAGTTATGTATGCAAGAGACAGGTATGCACGGAATAGGGATAAGCGAGCACCGGGAGAGATATGCCAGTAATAGGACTAGGTTTAGAGAAATAGGCATATGTGAATAGGGCTACTAGATCATTAAAGTATAGGTTTTGGGTAAGCTCGCTCATATCGAAAGAAGAAATCGAAGGAAATGAAGCATAAGCTGACTAGGTCAAATCCTAGGCTGTTTCGATAGACAAAAGAAAATAGAAAAAAGTAGTGAGTGAGAAAGAAATAAGTAAAAAAATAAAAGACGACCCAGACGAAACAATTAGTGAAATCGTTCTATTTCCTCCATATCCTCAAACATATGCCTATCCCCGCACATGTTCTTACTCGCATATTGGACTTACGAAAGGTAAGCCTTATTCCCAGCTATTTAACTCAAAAAAAAACTCTTCACAATGCTTAACGCCCATATGTTCATTCTTTCTTTGCTTCTCATGTTTCCATGCTCCTTTCTGGTGGCAGGAGGCAAAGAAGAGACATAATGGAGATAATGATGGTTCAAATCCAACCATTCCTTGGGCGTGGTTCGAGCGAGAATTCAATGATCAGTATTTAGATGTTATGTCTCGGGAAGCGCTTCGACAGCAATTCGTTAGCCTAAAACAAGGGAGTGGTACTGTTCAGGACTACAATATGAAATGCGACAACTTGATGAGGTATGCTCCCGACATTGTGGCAGATGACTTCCGCTTGCGACGGCAATATCTGGAAGGGCTTCATCCCAGATTTACACAAATAATCGACCTTCCTGAGTGAGACTAGTGGATCTGATGGCACATGCGCTACGAGTGGAGTCATATGAGCCTAGCAAGGGTCAGCAAAGCTTTGTTCTCAATGTAAAGCCACGAGTTGATGGATCATCAATCAAGGCCAAGTCAGTCAATGAATTCCCCGCCATCAGCAAATCCAGCTAAGCAAAATTCTGGCGTTGTGAATTACGAGAAGGTTTGGTGTCGATATTGTCAAGGGAGACATCATGAGTCAACTTGCTACAGGAAGAATGGCACTTGTTACAATTGTGGTGGGCTCGGTCATTTCGCTAGGGAGTGTCCCAAGCCAAATTCAAAACTCATGCTTGGAGACCGAACCAAACCGATGACACAGGGAGTAGTGGCGAGAGGTGGCGGTACACAACAGCCGAGAGGTCGTGGAGGTCCCATCTCTCAGCGGGACGTGAGATTTGGAGGCAGAGGAGGCGCGCGAGTCACAGTTCAGGCACATCACAGCGAGGCTGGGGGACCAATCGACAGACTAGATCAGACAGATGACACTACCGTGGCCACAGAACTGATAGCAGGTATCTTCAATATTTCTGGGTGCTTTGCTTACGTACTGATTGATACTGGATGCAGTCACTCAGTATCATCTAAAGCTTGGGTCAAAAGATGTGGGCTGGCGACAATAGAGAGTGGAAAAACAATGTTGATCGGAACACCCACCTTTGAATTCTTCATTCAGGAATTGAGGTGTTCATACCTTAAGATACAGATTGCAGGACGAGAGCTAAGAGTAGACCCAATAGTTGCAAAAGCAGGACGATATGATGCTGGGCTTGGAATGGTTGACTATGCATCATGCCACGATTGATTCGCAGGAAGGTGACATTCCAGAAACCGGGGACTAAGCCATTTTCATTGCAATTCAGACAAGTTGGTGATCGAATCACGACAATCTCAGCTTTACAGGCACAGCATCTAATCGAGTCAGGTTGTACCGCCTACCTTGTATCAGCCATGCAGACGAAATCGGAGGTCAAGAACCTATCATCTATTCCAGTGGTGTCAGAATTTACCGACGTCTTCCATGAGACTCTACCAGGATTACCGCCTGAACGAGAGGTTGATTTATGCATCGAAACCAAACAAGCAACGGATGGAGCAACTAGCGCGAAAGCCGTTGCGCGTTTTGGTTTGCTTTATCCGCCATAGTAGAAAGAATAAGCTGCTTCTTGTTTAGGGCGGGCTATCTTGACTCTTGAGCCTGAGAGGGAGAAGGCTTCCCGCGTGGGCGGATTAGCAATCCCTAGTCTTCCATAACGCGTATTGGACTTATGTTTCCTCCTCCTCGAAGATGATGGATCTATCTGGTCACCGAAGCTAAATGGACCCGAGCTGTTGATGACCGAATAGAAAGGTTTATTTTCAATGGCAAGTCCTAGATGATGTAGGCTTTGCTTATCCTGGCCAACCACAAAGTACGCATCTCATGTGCAAAGAGACGATCTTCCGTCATAGACTATAATAAATAGTAAATGGACCGATCACCAGTTTATTGGCTCGTTCATTCACTCGCTGGGTAAGGAGGCTGTGACTTACAAGATGTCAAAGGGAAACCATTGTGGAAGTTCTTCGGTAAAGGGCTTTAAGCGAGTAGGGGTAGCTGATACTACGGCAGGGATTCGCGAAGAGCAACGCCTTACGATGTTCATGACCAATTGGTCAGCATCTAGCAAGAAAATGGATGCGTCGCCGTGGCTTATGACTTTCGAACCCTTTTATGCCTTTGATACCACCCTCGGTAACGCACTAATAGACCCCGCTGTTGACTCACGTTGGATTCAATCGATTGCTTTCCGCATTTCTAGCCACGTTTCAGCCCTATCCTTCTGTTCTTTATGCAGTAGTTGGTTGTTTATGGCCAGCCAGCCTAGAGACTAGGGATAAGATCAAGCAATAGCCGGCATTCAATTCTTCTTTACATCTGCAGCTCCAAGAAAAGAATCAGAAATTGAACCTTTCCACCAAGAGCCAGCCTATAGTGAAATTGGTAAGTTGAGGGCGCTAAGCCTTTTGTTTAAGATGAGTAAGGGCTCCTTTTTTTCACACAACCGGGAATAAGAATAATCCGAAAGTCGCTAGATTAGGAAAGCATAGGATCGAAGTCTTGAACGGACTCATTCACTGCCTCAGAATATGCCCACGCTGCGCGCCCTTGACATTTTGCATCACTGTACATCTTTTCTCCATTAGCCCCACACGAACCAGATTTGCTTTTTGAAGCACTAGAAAAGCCAAGCAAAACTCCAAAGTGCCCGGGCCTGCGAAAGCTGAATGAGGGTAGCCTCTCAATTCCTTGATATTAGTAGGAAACGGCATCCCCAGTATGTCTTTTGTTTTGGCGGGATACACCTTAATCCCTTTCTTTCGTACTCAGAATCCGAGGTTAGAATATGCTCGACTGATCCTATTTCACTGTCACCACCTTTGCTTCTTCGGTTGATGAGTCTCAGGTGACTCTATTAGATTCTTGGGTCGGGGAGTTTTCAGTTTCTCTAGTGGGAGAAATGGTGTTTGACAGGAGGGCCAACAGTGTTAAGAAAAACAAAGGAGATTCTGGCAAGAGCTGGGATACATAAAAACCAAATGCTTAATGTAGGGGATTTTCATACTGTCAGATCAAGAAGGGTTAGGGGAACCATTCAATGCCAGAGTAAGCTGGGATTAATACAGCTTAATTGAAGACTTCTTTCTCTTTTTACCGAAGATCATTCTTCCCGAATAGAGTACGCGTAAGGATCTTCACTTTTTTATTAGTAAGGAGTAGCGAAAAGAGACTTTCTATTTCTCAGAAGCCTGCCTCCATCTGGCAGCTTTTTTTCTCACGAAAGACCCTTTGACTTGATAGCCAGAACGCCGATGAAAGAGAACGGAAGGAAGTGTACCGCGTAAGTAAGTCTCCTAAAAATAAGTAGTAGCCCTATCCGATTCATTCTCCTATGCCTACAGATCGATTTTGAGCCGATGATCAGAGTGTTTGTTTGGAAGGAGGTAGTCCCATGTAAGTGGATGTAGGCAGATAGCCTTCCCTTGTTGAAGAGGCTAGTCTTTGTTTCGGATTCCCATGTTGACGAAGAAAGTGCCCGAGCTATCACATTTCTGAAATTTCTTATTCGAGGGATTTTGATGTTTACGATTTGCGTGTTTGGGTGAACCTTGACCAGCCTCGGTATCTAGTGAGCCAATGAAATTTTCTTCCAGAGAGGAGCCTTACCTAAAGAAGAAACTATGCCCCTGGTTTGAAGCGAGAAAAGACAGCCTTTACCATCTTGACGATAACGAGTCACTAGTCTACAACGTAAGCAGATTCCTGAACTGACCCAGCTCTACTTATGCAAGTCCGGCACAGACAATTCACTTATATCTTGAGTAGCTAGCTATATAGGATCTAGAGAGCTATCTTCTTTGTTGAATGCTCTTTGAGAGTAGTAGAGCCAAGAGGAATAGTACGTTGACCAGTGCTACAAGTTTGGAGTTGAAGCCCGAGCGTTAGCGAGTTTCTTTTTCACATGAGATGTAGGCAAGCACTGAGGTAGCCGATTCCACTCCGAACTCCGCGCCTTTCCATACACTCTTACTCCAAACCATTTGAGAAAAGCATACTGCGTCTTATTGCCAGATTAACGTCCGGGCCAAGCACGCACCGATTGCACTCTGACCTTATCTTGTCAGGCGTAGACGAGACAAGCAATGAAACGAAGAATTTACTAGTGAAGCCCAAGAAAAGCGGAGACAAACCCAGGAAGAGATCTGATCGAGAACGCTGCGCGCCTTTTCCACTTACGACAATATACGAAACACTTCATGATATCGCAAAACACAACCACAATCTAGATCCGTCAAAATGTGAGTTGGTAGCCCGCCCGTGCAACTTAGAAATGTGGTATAAGAACAATCGGGCAACATCGGGAGCAGTAAATGGGTTTACCGAGTATAAAGAAGAGCTGATGTTAGAACGCTTCAAAGCCCGGCTAGTAGCCAAAGGTGCGGAGCAAAGAGGAAGGAGTAGATTTCACAGACACTTTCAGCCCTGTTGTTCGACCCACATCAGTACGTGTTGTACTTACCATTGCCTTATCTTTTGGTTGGCCATTACATCAATTGGATGTCAATAATGCTTTTCTGCATGGTGACTTGGAAGAGCCGGTTTACATGCTTCAACCACCGGGTTTGACTGATCCAACCTATCCACAGCATGTTTGTAAACTTAGAAAGGCGCTCTATGGCCTTAAACAGGCTCCCCGTGCCTGGTACAACAAATTCCAAACTTGCTTGCAATCACTAGGCTTTCATTCTTCTCAATGCTTCGCCCTTCCTTATTCCTCTTCGTCTTGGTATGATACTTTCCTAAAAGCAAGGATTTTCTGAAAAAAATGATCTGATCTAACAATTGAATGAAAGCACATGGTTTCGGATCCAAGCACATGGTTTGCGGCTCTGGGCAAGGGATGCTGTAGTTTTTTCTGCTAAAAAAAGAACTGTTATTATTCGCTCCACTCTTGCCATCACGCTCTGTCTTGAGCATCTCCCACATCTAACTGCAAGCCTTGCTTTCCATTGGCTGATTCTCTGTTCCAGGTACAAGTCAAGTGGTCCGGGGATGGATTCCTGGTGAAGAGCACTTTTGGATTATCTAGTTGTTGCTTTGACTACCCCAATACCCAGGATTAAAGAAATACGATTCCTAGCGCTAGAAAAATGCATATATAGGGTCCAGAATTCATGCAATGGAATGAAATAAGGGTTTAAGCCGGGGATTAAAGAAAAGGTAATATCCTCGGGAAAGGCTAAGCACATTCGAAGACAGGCTTTCTATTTCGCATTCTCTGGCGGCAAGCCAACTGGAAGCAAATGGGATGAGAATTGCTGATATCCTTGGTACTGTCAAGTGCGGATTTCATGAGTTACTGTGATTGCATAGCGGATTTCACATTTCCAGTCAGTACGCTTTCAGGTGAAGCCTTGGGGCAGAGATCATTTCCTCCACCCACTCCAAATTCAAGTGCTGCAATGACGAACAGTGGGATCAACTATACCTCTTCAACTATACCTCTGGTTCTTCTGGCATATTTGATGAGACCCGTTCTTTTTATGTATGCAAATTCCTTGATTGCGTAGCAGTTATGGATATTTCCCCAATCTTTCTTGCTTATGAAACATCTTTGTAGATTGGAAGAGTTCCACTAGGACAGCAAATCAGCTACTTCGAAAAGACCAGAGCTCAGATACTGGAGAACATGGAGGAGGAAGCAGCAAGTGATTTCTTCAAGACGGCGCTCTTCATTGTAGCTGCAGGATCCAATGACATTTTGGAGTATCTTTCACCTTCAGTACCGTTCTTTGGACGAGAGAAGCCTTATCCTTCATACTTTCTGGACGTGTTGGTTTCCAATCTGACATTTTATCAGAAGGTTCTGCCAATTTATCCCTACTGTAGTTTTGTGTCGCTTGCTCTTGTTTGCTGCTGACCTCTATTTTCTTTCCCTCGATTAAGAGGCTAAATGAACTGGGTGCTCGAAAGTTTGTTGTGTCCGACGTCGGGCCACTCGGTTGTATACCGTACGTTCGTGCTCTGGAGTTCATGCCTACAGGGGAGTGTTCAGCATCCGCGAATCGAGTCACTGAAGGTTACAACAAGAAATTGAAGAGGATGGTCGAAAAGATGAACCAGGAGATGGGTCCAGAGAGCAAATTTGTGTACGTAAATACGAAGGAGTTTGGCAGCGCCGAAGCAGAGGAAGGAACCCGAAGCAATGGAAAGAACGACGACCTAGGAGGTAGTAGTAGTACGAAGCCGGAAGGTGGTTTGATTCAGAAGTTGAGTGAGGAGGCTTCGACCGTCGCCACAAAGATTCTTATGAGGCATGCTTCTGACGGGCTGCCACGCGGGAGGTACTGGAAGACTTTTCAAAGGGCTAAGTATAGGCACCGGGAAAGAGTGGGGGGTTGAAGTGGAGTTGCCACGACGATTTCTGGTAAGTCGATTGCGGAGGAACTGAGAGGGAGAAGGCCGGGCTTCCCAGATTGTGCAAATTAGCCATTCCACTTCGGGGCCGTGTGCACATAGCATGGAGGCGATGCCTTATGCCGTGGCGTCAATTCTAGCTTCTGATGCGGGAGCTTCTAGCTGTTCGCTTTTAAATTGGCACTTTGAGGGCGGAGCGTGAATTAAGTAAAGGCTTATTTGTCAAATAATATCCAGTCCTGAATGTTTCATTTTTATTAACCAAAACCAACATTTCTCATACTTGCAACTAAGACCTCGAATGTTTGGAAAAGACGATGTCGACAAAGCGGAGTTTTTTAATGAAATAAAAGACATTTGCAAGTGCTGGCTTACACCCGGGGAATTGTCAGTAAATAAGGCGCCAGGAGGTTGTGCAAGCACTAGAAATGACGAGCATGGAGAGGTCAATCTTGGTAGTCAGGTCTGGTAGAGCAATCTAAAATTATCATATAGAAATGTTATGATTTCGGTATTGATCAAAAGGTGCTGGGACCTTAGGGGATACATTAGTGCCATGTTCTATTGCGGAACGGTCGTATCCTGGTAACCTAGCCCCCGTAAGAGCTCTACCTAATCGTCGACATAATGGGTAGAAGGCAGGCTGTGCTTATTTCTCGGCAAATAGCTAAGTCGACACCTCGAGGTAGCAACTCAACTCTTCGTAGATAAAAACAAGTGTTCAGTGGATCAAACCCTGTATTAATGGTTCTGGCAGGCTGCTGGCGTGGGACTGTAAATCCTCTTTCGCTAGAAACACTACAACAATAGAAGCACCCTTCTAGAGATAAGAATAGCAAATGTTTTGAGGCACTGATGGAAGCATGCCAAGGTGAAGTTGACGATCTCTTTAGCGTTTATCCTTCTCTTTATCTTGCCCTATGTGCTCATGCTGTGAGTGCCGCAGGATGATTTAGTTCTGATCGAGTGCTTGACCCCTTGAGGAGGGCATATTCTTCAGCATCTCTCTTGTCGGATCGTATCCCCGTGACCACGTCGTTAAAGAGACAGTCTTTCTTTGGTTTGGCCCACCGATTTACCGTCGTTGGTGACACTCTTCTGAGCCCCTAGATTCGCCGAAGGATGAGATCTTGCCTATGCTGTAGTGTAGGATGAACAGGAAAGTTCTCCTCCATTGAGACCCCACCGCCGTGGAAAACTACTACTTTTTCTTATTGAAAAAAAGAGCTTTGTTATCTTACTTGCTGGCTAGTAAACGCTACCCCTACCCTTGAAAACTTGTTTACTTTTGAGGGCCGGAGTTTACTTAAATTCAAGAGGGACTTAAAGGATTTCTAACTTCACTGTCCTGCTTACTCATTGGATGAATTGACAGAGTCTCTTGCCCTTTACCTTGGATATACACAAGATTGCTCATTCGCTGTAACCACTAGTTCTAGAACTGAATAGGAAAAGCTATATGGCACTCAAACAGAATGGATAGCAACTGAAACTCCAAGAGGTAGTATACTAATATACTTTTTTTCCTAAAAACCGGCTTTCCTAAGATGCCTATTGGTCTAAGCTTTATATCTATCCTATCGCTCTCTTGCTTAAATTCACTTCCTTCCTTAACTCAGATCTAAATGGCTTCCTTTGGATCGACATTAACTTAGGCGTAGAAAGAGGTAAAAGCACGGGCATGGAAAAGGGATTATATGGCGTGCTGGGCTGGATGAAAGAAGCAACTACGCCTATGTTGGAGCCATTCCATTTGAATTGGCACTTTCTCCATCATGACTCATGGGAAGAGACATTGGCAATAATTCACCTTGGACAATTTATTTGTGAAAATTTATGTCTATTTAAATCACACATAAAAAAATCTGGTAAAATTTTCATTGTTAATATGGACTCCTTTGTTCTAAGAGCAGCTAAGCCTTATTTGGCCACTATAGGAGCAACTGTTCATGGTCATTATGGAAAAATCCTTTACAAAGGAGATAGGTTAGTTACGTTTATATATGAAAAATCGAGATCCAGTGATATAACGCAAGGTCTTCCAAAAGTAGAACAAATCTTCGAAGCGCGTTCAATTGATTCACTATCGCCGAATCTCGAAAGGAGAATTGAGGATTGGAATGAACGTATACCAAGAATTCGGGGTTCCCTGGGGATTCTTGATTGGAGCTGAGCTAACCATAGCCCAAAGTCGTATCTCTTTGGTTAATAAGATCCAAAAGGTTTATCGATCCCAAGGGGTACAGATCCATAATAGACATATAGAGATTATTATACGCCAAGTAACATCAAAAGTAAGGGTTTCCGAAGATGGAATGTCTAATGTTTTTTTACCTGGGGAATTAATAGGACTATTGCGAGCGGAACGAGCAGGGCGGGCTTTAGATGAATCGATCTATTATCGGGCAATCTTATTGGGAATAACAAGGGCTTCCCTGAATACCCAAAGTTTCATATCTGAAGCAAGTTTTCAAGAAACTGCTCGAGTTTTAGCAAAAGCTGCCCTACGAGGTCGTATTGATTGGTTGAAAGGCCTGAAAGAAAACGTAGTTCTGGGGGGGATTATACCTGTTGGTACCGGATTCCAAAAATTTGTGCATCGTTCCCCACAAGACAAGAACCTTTATTTCGAAATTCAAAAAAAAAATCTATTCGCGTCGGAAATGAGAGATATTTTGTTTCTCCATACAGAATTAGTTTCTTCTGATTCTGACGTAACAAACAATTTCTATGAAACATCAGAGACCCCGTTTACCCCTATTTATACGATTTAAGTATACATAAAGCAATTTTTTTTACTTTAATTTAAACTATACTTTTGACCTTAGAATGCTAACAGGTCTGATTTTCCATTTTGTATTTGAATTTGAATTGTATTTGAATTTGAATTGTATTTGAATTGTATTTGAATAAGTAAAAGAAGTCAGTTAATTCATTAAGGCTATGTTTATACCGTGTATCAATGGTCAATTATGAGTAGAAGGTTCCATCGAAACAATTATTATTTATTTCAAGCTATTTCGGCTCTTTCTTAATCTTCAAAAAGAAATTAATTCCGTAATGGTAAGACGAAAAAAGAAAAAATAAAAAGGAAGTGTGGAAAAAATGACAAGAAGATATTGGAACATCAATTTGAAAGAGATGATAGAAGCGGGAGTTCATTTTGGTCATGGTATTAAGAAATGGAATCCCAAAATGGCCCCTTACATCTCGGCAAAGCGTAAAGGTACTCATATTACAAATCTTGCTAGAACAGCTCGTTTTTTATCAGAAGCTTGTGATTTAGTTTTTGATGCAGCAAGTCAGGGAAAAAGCTTCTTAATTGTTGGTACCAAAAAAAGAGCAGCGGATTTAGTAGCATCAGCTGCAATAAGGTCTCGTTGTCATTATGTTAATAAAAAGTGGTTCAGCGGTATGTTAACGAATTGGTCGATTACCAAAACTAGACTTTCTCAATTTAGAGACTTAAGAGCAGAAGAAAAAATGGGAAAATTCCACCATCTCCCAAAAAGAGATGCGGCAATCTTAAAGAGAAAATTATCTACCTTGCAAAGATATCTCGGCGGGATCAAATATATGACGAGGTTGCCTGACATTGTGATCGTCCTTGATCAGCAAAAAGAGTATATAGCTCTTCGGGAATGTGCCATTTTGGGGATTCCTACTATTTCTTTAGTCGATACAAATTGTGACCCAGATCTTGCTAATATATCGATTCCTGCCAACGATGACACTATGACTTCAATTCGATTAATTCTTAACAAATTAGTATTTGCAATTTCTGAGGGCCGTTCTCTCTATATAAGAAATCGTTGATTAAGAAGAATAGTTAATTCTTGAGCAACTGCGTAGATTTATAGGATTAATTACTATTATTTTTTGTTTTGCATAGATAAAAGAAGGGGAATATTGATATATATTAGAGGGTATTGATATATATTATGATCTGATGTGATTTCTTGGTATATTAAATATAAGATTAATACTTCAAGTTGCTGAGTTGAGAAAGAGATGCTTGAATCAAAAGAATTCCTTTTTTGAAGTTCAATTTTTATCAGAGGACAATATGAATATTACACCATGTTCCATTAAAACACTCAAGGGGTTATATGATATATCGGGTGTAGAAGTAGGCCAACACTTCTATTGGCAAATAGGAGGTTTCCAAATTCATGCCCAAGTACTCATCACTTCTTGGGTCGTAATTACTATTTTGCTAGGTTCAGTTATCATAGCTGTTCGGAATCCACAAACCATCCCGACCGATGGTCAGAATTTCTTCGAATATGTCCTTGAGTTTATTCGAGACTTGAGCAAAACTCAGATTGGAGAAGAATATGGTCCCTGGGTTCCCTTTATTGGAACTATGTTCCTTTTTATTTTTGTTTCGAATTGGTCAGGTGCTCTTTTACCTTGGAAAATTATAGAGTTACCCCATGGGAGACACTCATGGAATACGAAGAAAGCTGTACCCGGATAGTTCACATAGGCCTGGCTTGGTTGTAAGAGGAGCTCCTGAATGTTTGGAGAGTTGTTCACCCACCACGGCACCATGACTTATCAGAAGTAGCATGTATTGGGATTGGGGGAGATGAATCCCGGGCCTGGCCAGAGAACATTAGTAAGTCTGCGGATCACTCTTTTTCTATGCTTTTTCAAGAAATCCGTTTTCCCCCATTCCTTTAGTAAGAAGCAAGCCCCTATACCTTGAGGAGATATCATAAAGCTACATCACAATCAAATTGTGGGTGATCTCTCCACAATGCTGCCCAACACTCTGAACAACGTCCTGTACTCAAATAGGAAAATGCAAACTATCATGTTCCAGAGCTTTAGCCACAGTAATCTCCTGTTCATAGCAAGCTGCAAACAAAGTTGGATATAGGTGTGCCAGTGTACAGTCACATAAACATCTATCATTCCATAAAAATATATCCAAACATTTCCAACGAAGTATTTACAGCCTAACTCAATGTTGTGTTTCTCAGAGACAACACCATTTTATAATGGTGAATACATCTTTTTTTCTTTTATACATTTTTCTTATTATTTGCTTCCAAAGACCTGTGACAGTGGGGTCCTTGAAACGAAAGCACCACTTAGCAATCAATGCCCTGTTCATTTCTAAGAGATTCTGTATACCCAAAACACCATCAAACTTTTTTCTACTTACAGAGGAACATGAATATCTCTTTTTCTATATGAACCATGCCAGAGAAATGTCCTAGCGAGTTTCGATCTTCAATTGGAGTTCTTTGGACAGCCGGCTATAAAATAAGTTTATGAAGATGAGGTCTATTTCAAGTAACCTGTAAGGGAAAATATTTACACTTAAAGTTCTAAAACTGCATTGAAGGCAAATGGCTTCCAAGCTAGTGACTCGTATGGATCATTTAGCTCGGCTGTCTCCTTTTGAGGGCCAAGAAGACTACTTGGTGAGGAAGGAATTTTCTAGAAACTCAGACTTTGAATGGATCGCGCGGACTATAACTCAGACACTGACTTTCTGGAGGTAGCTAAACTCACCATGGAATAAGGTTATTCGTCTTATAGCGACATTCCTACATCAAAGATGAGGGGAGGGGCTAAAACGTTCTTAATCCACTCCCCGAACAAAATAAAAGGCTCCGTCCCTCAAGTTTGAGCCTAGCGCAAAAGCCGATTCCAAATTTTATATTTCCTGGCAAGTCTATGAGAGTCCTATTACGGATCCTCTGATCTTTAGCTTGAATGGTCGTGTTTTTACATAATTAGGTCTTTCTTCTGAGCTCTTCTATTACGGTACGGAAAAATCAAACCTATCACTCTCTAAGAATGGGTAAAAAGAATTCAAGCTAGGGGAGCCTCTCTAACTACCTATACTACGCCCCCATTGATTGGAAACCCTCGGGGAAAATGATCCCATAAACAATGGAATTATACAGTACGAAATAGCAAAAAAACAGACTAATTCGATTCTAAAAAATAGATAATAGATATGGGCTTTCTGCTCAAATTGTCCCGACAAGGAGAGATATGAAATATTTGAATCAGATTGGATTTCGTAGTATACCAATGAGCCAAACTATTACTATTTCATCTAACTTGAATAACCAAGGACTGAATTTGACTATGGATTCTGATAACTCGAGAAGTTTTGATTTGGTTATGATCCAAAGAGAAAAAAGAAAGGTTTAACAAGCCATGAGAAAATAGAGTAAAGTAACCATACGTTCTGTTTGCAGAACGTGTATACGCCATACAATCGAAATAGAAACATGGGACGATTCCAGAATTTGGAATAGATCCGTGGGGATGAGAGAAGTTGTTGTTGAGAAATATGAAATTGGAAAGGAAGTCAAACTCCCTATGGAACCTGTGATCGGTTGTACCTGTACTTGCAGGGATACGAAAACTCGCTATTCACTCAGTTTCTGGTCAATAATAAGATTATGTAGGAGAGATGGCCGAGTGGTTCAAGGCGTAGCATTGGAACTGCTATGTAGGCTTTTGTTTACCGAGGGTTCGAATCCCTCTCTTTCCGTTTCTGTTAATTCACCAACGTTACCGACCACAATGTATCAAATCAAATAGATTTCCGCAATAATACCTACAGCTTCCCCCAATTCGACCAGATCCCCATGAGTGGGACTCCGCCCATAACATAATTGACAGATCCAAGATGTGCTCCGGCAAGTAAAGGGGGTTCTAATATAATATATATTGGTTGTGCTCGAAACGGTTGTGCTCGAAAGGCAGTTATGAATCGATTGACTAATCCAATTCCAATATCTTGATTTCGAGAAGCAATGCATCGTGAACCAATATATATATCGTCTGCTAATACACGACCAATTAGTGTTTGGACAAAAAGTTTTTCCGTCATCCCATTTTGAGGACTCACAGAAATACCTTGGATAGTACCACAATCTCTTCTACGCACAATAATATGTTGAACTACTTCAACAAGTCTACGTGTAAGATAGCCAGCATCCGCTGTTCGTACAGCAGTATCTACAACCCCTTTTCGGGCTCCGTAGCAGGAAATTATATATTCTGTCAAAGAAAGTCCCTCGCGTAAATTGCTTTGAATAGGTAAATCAATCATTTGTCCTTGAGGATCCGCCATTAACCCTCTCATACCTACTAATTGGTGTACCTGAGTTCCTCTGGCTCCTGAAAAAGACATTAGATAGACTGGATTAGAAGGATCCGTTATTCGAAAATTCGAATTCATTTCTTGTTTCAAATATTCACTTGTAGCATACCATATCTCAACGGATTGGCGTAATTTTTCTACCGCGTAGCTCCATAATAATAGTGTTTCTCCAAAAGAAAACTCTGTTGTTCCGCTCGATTCCTAAAGAAATCGATGTAGTAGTGGCTTGATGGAAGCCCAGAGTCTTTATTTGATCCAGTATATGGGATGTATATCCCATTCCGAAATGATCTATTAATCTGCTAATAAGCCGTTTCATAGCAGTTCCGTCTATCTCTTTATTATGAAAGACCAGGTTGGCCCGTTCTGCCATACATAAGTACCCCCTTTTTTGGCTGAGTAGGATTCGACAATTGCTGAGTAGGATTCGACAATGGGCCTGAGTCAGTGATTCGAAAACTTAATTTACTCCCTTTCCTCAATCTCAATCTGGATTTGCGCGGCAAAAAAGATGGTACTAGCGAAATCGGAATGCCCCCCGAAAGGGGCATCGCCGAATTTCACTTCCTTGTTTAGATAGTGTATGAATAGGCCCGACTAAATCCTTGTATGGCTTCCTCTATTTCTCTATAAAAAGAAATATGACCAAGAGTGGTTCGAATGTATATAGAACGGATTTCTTTTTTTCTATTTCCCACTACTAGATAGTGGGCATAAATCTCATGATAAGTCCCAAAAGATTCATATTGAACTTCAATCGGAACTTCTCTTGACCCAACGATGCGTTGATCTAGTTTCCATCGGAGCCACAAGGGACTGTTTAAACCGATTCGTTTCTGTCTATAAGCTCCCAGTGCATCATAGGAACTAGAAAAATGGGGTTCTTTATCTTTCGTATACTTATAATAATTGTTATTATTGTAGTTTATTTTTTTATTTGGAGAGTTTCCGCAACTATTATATCTATTTGCACAAATACCTCGACGGTTTCCAATCGTTAATACATAAAGTCCGATAAGCATGTCTTGGGTTGGCACGCAAATAGGATCTCCAATAGCGGGAGACAGGAGTATGAGAAAACATAAGTAAACGGGCTTCCGCCTGAGCTTCCAAGGATAAAGGTAGGTGAACAGCCATTTGATCCCCATCAAAGTCCGCATTGAAACCCTTACACACTAATGGATGTAAACAAATAGTACGTCCCTCTACTAAAGTGGGTTGGAAGGCCTGTATGCCTAATCTATGCAGGGTAGGTGCTCTGTTCAACAGGATGTCCCCGCATAACTTCTTGAAGTATTTCCCATACAATGGGTTCCTTTTCCCAAATTTTCCTTTTAGCAATCCTGACATTAGAAGTAGCACGTTTCGTGATTAAATCGCGAATTACAAATAGCTGAAAAAGCTTTATTGCTATCTCTAGAGGTAATCCACATTGATGTAATGAAAGCGAAGGACCCACAACAATGACAGAACGCCCCGAGTAATCGACCCGTTTCCCAAGCAGAGTCTCGCGAAACCTCCCCTCTTTACCCTCAATTACATCTGAAAGTGATTTGTATACTTTATTGTGACCATCCCTCGTCGGTTGCCCGCGGGACCCACTATCAAGAAGTGTATCCACGGCTTCTTGTACCAATTTTTCCTGGCACATTACTAAATCTGCTGGTGCTAATTCACTTCTTTTTAATAGATAGGCAAGGTTGTTCTTCCGACGGATAACTCTCTTATAAAGTTCATTAATATCCGAAGTCACTACTTTATCCCCAGACCTATAAACAATGGGTCTCAATTCGGGAGGAAGAACCAGTAAATTGTACATACGAATGTCAATCTTCATTTTTGTATATTAATACACTGGTAGGGGTCGATCAGGCAAATCCCAAAGCTGACCCCCGAACTGCTGCCGGACTGCTCTACTGATCTTCTCTCTCTTCAGACTCACTGAACCTTCTCAAAGACTCCTTTTGCACTGAGAACACAATTCCCTCCTTCTCACAAGAAGGCAAACCTTGTACGTTGATCGAATCTTCTTTCGCATCCAGAAGAGAGGCTGTGGGCTATCCGAGAGAGTGGTTCAGGTGACTACCGGAGTCATTGATTAAGCAGGTCAGATGGGCTTAGTAGGGCTCGAACCTACAATATCACCGTTATGAGCGGTACGTTTCAACCAATTAAACTATAAGCCCAATCGGATCTCTACATGCCGGGAAGAGCGGACAGAAAGAGGAGACCCTTTGCTCTATCTCCTTCTTCCTCTTCCCGGGGCCCCGGAGTAACTGAAAGGAAAGCCCTATTAAAGAAGCTAAGTGACTTTCGTCACTCAAGTAGTGAGTTTGAGAGTGGCCGTTAGGGCGACCACTTGTACTTCTAGGCCTTGGCGACCTATAGTCTTGTTACGCAACACAGCTTCACTCGATTCAGTAAATCAATAGTTCAAACCAGCCCACTAATAGCTTAGATAGTGGCCCTTCCACTTTGGTATAGTTGACCCTACCTATTGACTCAAGGTAAGACCTCTGACTCAAGGTTCATAGGAAGGGGGAACCCAGACGTAGTGGGATGTAGGCTTCAGTTGTTTTGGTACTTTTGCACTACCTACGTCTTATTATTTATTTTGTAACCGGCTTTTCACCGGCAGGTCAGTAGGCCTTTTAGAAGGCGAACAAACGAAACCGCGGGCGCTAGCGCTATCTTGTTCGCTTTTGTCAACTGAAGTCGCGCGTAGCGCCAACTAACTGATAGCTGATAGAGCGCGGAGCCCCGAGTCTAAGCGAGCAGAGCCATTTCTTTCTACTGTCGTCAAAAGAAAAAAAAAGTACTAAAGGCGAAGGGCATTCTGTTGTACAGCTACTTTGGTTTTGGTATAGTTACAAAGGTAACCGGTAGGTGACTGTTGAATCGACAGTAGTTACGAAAGGGGGAAATAGCTCAGTTGGTTAGAGTGCTGGTCTGTCACGCCAGAAGTCGCGGGTTCGAACCCCGTTTTCCCCGCACGATCTTCCTCTTCCTGCCCGACTCATTTTGTCTTCACTGGAAGCTGCTGATCCCAGCGTAGCATTCAAGACAATTGTTCCTTCTTCGGTCTCCCTCCACCCCCTTCGTTTGTTGTGGGTCGCGTCTCACCGCAGGCACTTAATGAATGAGTGAAGATCTTCCTTCCCCCCTTGTGTCTTACCAAGGACTGAGTTCCCACTTGTGGCGAAAAAAAAGTATACCATCCCACCCGGCCTCCCCCCGGGGGGTTAAGGTTCCTCTCGGAGACTGCCAGTCTACAAGAAGCTGGCAGAGCTTTAGCCATTGGACCACATCCATCCATCCTCCTACCTAAACAGTGACGCCTTTTCTTGTTCGTTCTTCGAATTACGCTAGTGGAGACTAATTCCTTCCGGCTAATGAAGATACTACCCCAGTCTTCCCATTCATTCCCAGTGGATCCTTCTTATCCCTTTTCATTGAACGAACCAAGTTCACCTATACGAGAGTGAGGAATAGAAATCCTACAATCAACTTCCCACTTTTGATGTCCCGTTTGACGATTCTGCTGCGTCTTTAGAAAAGAAAAAGGAGAAGGACAGGGGTCGCTAGTCAGAAAAGCTATAACTATCAATTCGAATTCAGAATGAATCAAATCTCCCCAAGTAGGATTCGAACCTACGACCAGTCAGTTAACAGCCGACCGCTCTACCACTGAGCTACTGAGGAAGAACGGACTTAAGGAAGCTGACTCTCGTTCTTTGGACCAACCAACCGAAAAGAAAAAAAGTTCGTCACTTTTTCTCTTTCACATACACCGGGAGAAAGGGTGACGATAGCAATCCCCTTTGCCTCCCCGGCCGGGGAGCCCCCAGGACAGGACAAGGGGGGCGGCGGTCAACCATCAACTCTCGATATGCATATTGATCAATCGATCTCTGCGTCCTGCCAGTTCGCTAAGTAGACTCACTCTACCGAGGGGCAACTAAGGTTGGTTCCTGCCAATTCCCTTGCTGATCAGCAAGGGAATTGGCAAGTATGAGAGAGGACTCTCTCTGTCTCTCCGAGTTTCAACTACTAAGTGTAGCTCTTAAGAAGTTCAGCTATTCTAAATGTAAATAGATTCCGATCAAGCAAGCAGGAGAAGGTGGTCCTTTCATCTCTCTGTCTGCTCCATGCTCTATAGCCTAAGGATCATGAGCAGGTTTAATGCTAGAAAAAAGGAGATCTGCCTAATCATTTCGGTAGATGAAGTAGTGGGAGGTCACGAAGGAAGTAAGGGGGCGTGTTAAGTTGAGAATTTCGAACATTGTAGCATCCTTTTGACGGTTGGGCTTTGAGTTGAGTTCTTTTAAGAACTCTTAATATGAAAATACACATCATAAAATGACGCATCGAGCGAGACCATTCTGTTTCATTGTGAATGAAAGACGTTTTCGACCAACAACATCTACTCATATCCAGCTTCGTGTCATTTTTGAACACTGCGATCAGCAAGCAGCAAGCGGGGGAGAGTCAAGTCAAGTACAACACAGGACTGACGGGGTGGGGCGCGCCAAAGCAACCCGGGACCCCTCCGGGGTCACTACAAAAGCGCTGGCGCCTTCTTTTGAAGGTGAAAAACTACGCTTCAAATAAAGCTAAGAAAAAGAAAAGGGCTGCGCTAATGGCAAGGAGCAAGAAAAGGGCAGCTAGCTCGAAATCCGATAAATCGAATACCTCCTTTCAGTTATGAGAGAGAACTCCAAGGCAGGATAAAGACTGAGTTGGATTCAGCCGCGTGGGGAATGAAACAACATTAATGGAATGAGTTGAGGCCTCCTGCTCTTTTTGAGAGTCAGGGGCAAGCCCGGCCTAGCGCTTTAAAAAGGGCTGTCTGCATTACTGGAAAAAAAAAGTAGTAAAATAAAAGTAGGGGCCACGTAGACTATTCTGAGGTGGTATGCTAAATCCATGATCAACTGATGTAGCTAGTGTGACTAAAGCTGCAGCTATTGGCTTAACAGGTTCTAAACTCTCCCACCCGATAAAGGAATTGAAAGACTACCCCGGGCCACGTAGACTATTCCCTTCCGCGGACATTCTTTTATAGTCTAGAAGGAAAGTAGCAAAGCCGAACGCAAATACACATGCAAATTGCGTCGACTACCTCATCACTGTCCAAAATGGGGGATACCGCTATTCATACATGGATGGACGAGGGACTCCGCTGACAACATCAGTAGATGACTTTTCTCTTTTCTCGCGGAATGCTATTAACGTTGGAAAAAACACAGCTCTCAAACTCACCCGGAGGGTGATAGGTAGAAGCATTAGTACCTAACGGAGCGGTATCTAACCAAAAAGGGAGGTGATGTTCTTTTTATAAACAGGATGGAGCATGGCTTCCTTTCTTCTTAGATACATTTCATTCATTCCATTTCTCTATAGTTTACACTATAACATCTTGCTAATCCTGACAGATCTCGAAAAGGGTGGGGGCACTAGAACCAAATCTACATACACATCGAAACTTCCTATCTCAGCCAAGCTAGCACCTTCATCCCACCAATGCATTGTACGACTCTCCACCCTCCGCCTCGCCTTTTCCTCCCTCATGAAATCCAAATTTCCCGCAATGAAATTCGATTTCGTTCATGTCGGCGGTTGGCAAAACGGCCCTGAGATCCGGGACTGGTAAAACATGGGTGCCCCATTTTCTTTTCCGTGCTCCGCCTTAGTGCCCTTATGAAGGCGGCGGGGAGTCCTTAGCCTTTGAACCAAACTCTAGGGAACGCTCAATTGCCTGACGTCTCAACTGCAATGGTGAACTCAGTGACATACACTGAAATGGATTGCATCTATTGTTCCAAACAAGGCTGATATTAGCAGGGCAAGCCCTTCCATGCAATTTCTTGCTTCGCTCTACAGACGAAAGTGCCGGATAGTCAATGGTAACCAGAAGATCTATGGTTTTCGAGAGAAGGTAATTGGAAAAACGATTCATTCCTTTGCTTTCTTTCAGATATATATTCAATAAGATGATCTGACCTTACCTGAAAACTAGATTCATGAAGAAGCCCAAAAAGTGCCGGGCTTAGTGCAGCCCAGTTCCTAGCCAGTGTTCAGTTATTTTTTCAGAGCTGTCCTCCAGTGCGAGTTCCCTTTAAGCTGCTCTCTATTTGAAGCCAAAGTCACTATTTCTATCTTTCCTGTTATTTCGTACCTAGTAGTATATATATATGGAGAATACCAAAAAGCTATCAATTACGCATAGGAGTTGTATAAAAAAGGGCCCTGACTTGTTGAAGTGCTTATTTTTTAGAGAGATTTACTTTTCTTTCAAAAGGATACATCAACCTGTAGTGAACCGGGCCACCGAGCTTGCTTTTACCGCTCTTACAGCTCTCTCTCTTCTTTTTTTTTGGTAGTTTGGCCAGGAAAGAGAAAGAGGAATGTACCCATTTCTATTTATCCATTCTCATAGAAAGTACCCAAAATGTTTTTTAATGTATGGAGCAGGCGTATGAGTTGATATCTTCAAGAGTAAAATCCTTTTCTTGCCCACCCAGCCATAAAAAGAAAAAAATCGTTACGAGCGGTCTTCTCAATCTCCAAAATGGAATTGAAAAGCTCCAATTTCCATAATGGTAGCGGGGAAATACCCAGGGAAGAATCATTCTTTGAATCATCCAGATCTATCAATTTGCGAATTCAATAAAAAACGGACTGATCCTCGGAATACACCATTATCTTTCGAAGTGCGTAGTCAATACTATGTTATATTCAAAGAAACAAGTCAAAGAGTAAAGGCTTCGCCCTTCAATACCACACTTCCAATCGAAATTCCTACGAGATTGACAAGAAAAAGACATGGTTTGATAGAAACTTTAAGTGGGTATCAAATAAGCTGGAATGAATGGTATCAATTTCTTCTTTTCTATACTGAATCTGCTTCGGTATCTCTTTCTTCCTTCCCTTCTGTAAACCAAGCAGTGACTAGCCTCTGGCACTCACTTTCCAAAGCACCAATTGACTTGCTTTCAGAACAACCCTGATACCAATCAGGAAAGGGCTAATTTCTAACAAAGTTTTTCTCTTGTTGATTCCTATTTCGTGGTGTAGTGCTTTTCTCCCCTATGCTGCCTATTGGTACTAGTAGAGTCGGATTGGCCTGTAATACAGAACCTATCCTGTAGGTGTAACCTTTCGCTCAATACTCAAATCTACAATTGAAGCATCTGAGGCCACATCAATCGAGGATACACGACAGAAGGAATTGTTAGTTCACCTCACCTTCCCCAAGCGCGGGTTTCCTTTACTAATTTTGTTCTCTCTATGCGAACCCTCTCTCTTTCTCGTAAGAATGAGATATAGGTAGGGCTAAAAAAAAAGAGTCAAATCGCACCATCTCTATAATAAGTAAATGCCCTTTTTTCCCCGGAGGTTGTCGGAATTATTTGCAATAAAATATTGGCTACAATCGAGGAGGTCTTATCAATGAAATTTCCATTTATACGGGATCTAGGCATAATTCCCAACCCATTCTATATAGAATTCTTTTCATTCTATCACAAAATAACATAAAAACAAAACATTCGATTCTTATAAATCGATCCATATGCTCTAAATGGATAAGAGAGGTATGGATTTTCCGCTCAGCTCAAATTGTCTCCTTTTCCTTCTGTTTGGACAAGAAGAGATATGAAATATTTGACTAAGACTGGATTTCATTCCACTTTCCTATTTCTCAACAACAACTTCTCTCATCAGCTATTTCGCGTTTTCAAAGTCATTAATTGCCCCATACCCCTTTTATATTTAGATTGTATGGCGTAATGTACCTTATGCTGATAGGAAAATCCGAAGGCTTTAATCTTTTAGAATGAAAACGAGAATTAGAAGAGCAACATGTACGCCAAAAGCACTTAAGCAGATGTAGATCCCTTCTCGAACTGCGAAAAAAAAACTCACGATCAGAATGGTATCTATCCGGACCACGAATCCGGAAAGCGCTGGTTCGATCCCAGCTCGTGAGAAAGGGTGGTATGCTAGCAGAAAATAGAAAAGGCTAAAGAGAAGGGTATTTTCTGGGAGTACGTGGCAACCGGCTCAAGACTTTAGTTGATCAATCATGCATCATTTTAATGAAAAGCTTGCTGTCAACGGTAAGAGGATCCAGTCCTATAAAAGGATGGAGGTTGCACACATGTAGAGAGAAAGCTGCTTACCAACCTCCAGACCGTCATGGCATGATTTTGCTGATACAGTTGGATGAAGGATCTCTCACAAGATGCCTGCGTATCTTCATCATATCAATCCGCTTCCGCTGTGGCTCTAGGTTAGAAGAAATTTTTTGGACATGTCAAGTCAAAGCAGTCTCGGGTCAAATCTACCAATTAGCTCGGGTCAAATCTACCAATTAAGTAGCCGGATATTAGCTCTCCTTTGACACTGTAAGTCGGGTAATTCTTTACTTACTGCTAGGGAAAGCTCGGGTAATTAAGCTCGGGAATTTCGTTACTGCTAGGCTACCAGCTAGCCACATTTGAAGTAGACCAGTCTAAGGTTCAGATTGCTACGATTCGTACGATTTACTTCTTACAACTTGGATCTTCTGCTCTTGCAGTCGGATTGTCAGTCAACCCACTCACTTTCCAAGCCTGTCTTTGCCAACTCGTTACTAGCTACTGAATCAAACTCGGCTACTGTAATCTGTAAACTTACTTTTCTGCTATAGTGAAAGACTTGTCAAAAAATGAACAATAGTTTGAGGCTGCCCAACCTAACTCTGTTCAGGACAACTCTACAATCCGGGTACCCACGGGCGCGCAAGCAAGGTATTCCTTTTCTCGGTAATCGAATCCAGGTCAACTTCTCTTTAGAATAGAACGCTTTCTAGCTCGTGTAATTTCATGTTTTCCTTTCTTCCTGGTAAACAGATCCAGGCAAGCTTTTCCTTTCCTACTAGAGAAATAAGATCCAGGCAAGCTAGCTTTTCTTATTATACAGAGATAAGTCAAAAGAGCCTATATATGAAAAAAGAGCCTGCACGGCAGCACAATTTCAGGAAATTCGGTACCCCTCCCTACTCAAACTGGGCAAGCAAGGAAGGGGAAGTAAGCTTGGAGGACCAGTGTGCGGCATTTAACAACATTTGTAAGTTACTTTCGTTCCAGCTTTCCAAAAAACCCTGTCTCGCAGAGCACCAATTAACTCTTTTAGGCCAGTCTCAGGAGTTTATTTATTTGAGCCTCTGTCTCGGATAAGATTAGTGCGAGCCACATCCAAATACCTCGGTCAAATTATTCAGTTTATTATTATATTAGGCCGTGTGGTCGATCCCTTAGTTCCAGTCATCCAGGCAGGGTTTGTTTGCTCTTTTCTTCAAAGTTCGTTCGATAGCTGCCATTCATCCCTTGTCTCCTATGGGTTTGTCTCTTCAAAAGGTTAGAAATAGTGGTATACTCTGGTTAGCGAAGAGGACAACCGAAGCAAATTAAGAAGAAGTCAAGGTCTCGATTCCGTCTATATTAAGTAAAGATGATGTAAAGCTTTTGTTTTTTCATTTTTCAGATAAGTTCATAAGAATATCCTTGGCAAAAAAAAGAAAGAAAGCCGAGCACGACTCCTATCACTTTCTTATTAGTCATCACCACATCGACAGCTCGGTCATCAAGCTGTTTCAAGGATAAAGAAAAAGTTCCAGTGAACTAAGAGGCATGAAAAAAAAAGGGCTTGATTAGTATTATCTAGTAATGCACTTGAGTTGAGTCTTATTGCAATCAAATAGCCAATCAGTTGCATAATGTGTCTCTGTGTGTGTTTGGACTGAACTATAGTTATAATCTTCACCATGTGATGGAATGCAACTAGTCATCTCACATTTTGCATGCAGCTACTTCAAAACTCAGTTAGTTAATCCAATGCCAGTACCGCAACACATTTCTAGCCACCACTATTTACTTCAGGAGACGACTTACAACAAGTCCGACAATGAAAGCATAGTATCATAATAATATATCAAACTTATCACATCATTATGGTCAAGCCCCCGTGTGTGTGTTCCGCAGGGCTGCGACTGCTGCTTTGATCTGTTAATATTGCAATCTGACCAAGTCAGTTTCTTTCATTAAATCAGTACAATGTCATTGTTCTTTTTGAGGAAACACATTCCACAGTTCTGAATCGTACATACCTCCTCCAGCTGCATGATGGACTGGGATGCACTCGCGGCATCGAGAGGGAGGATATTGTATTGAACGGCGCGTAGATGTCTTTCTTCTCTTGCACATCCTTGTGCAAGCGAATAATCTGTGAAGCGGAATATCAGAGGAAGTCGTCGCGTTCGAGAGTCCTAGATTTCCATTGAGCTAATTAGAGTAGACAGTGAGCACGAACCTCTGGGTTGACTTCTTCAACCTTCTCATTCTTGTTGACGGCGCAGAGCACCTCGAAGAGGACTCCGGCGGTCTGGTGGGCCTTCCCAAGTTGGGCCCAGAAGGCGACATTGGCATGGGACAGGGTGTGGGCTAGGATTAGATTTCTAACGAGATAGAGCTCTGTCTGGTTTGGAGCTTAAGAATTACCGGTCGGCTTGTTCCCCTTTGTCAAGTGCACGGACGTAGTTCTCGTAGTACTGCTGATCTCTACATTTCATCAGGCATAAATTACACAAAGATTGGCCATGACTTAAGGACTAAATAATCTAAACATGTTTTTGTGGATCCTGAATAAAAAGGAGATGCAGTGGATTTCCCTCGGTCAATAAACAACTGGAACTTAGCACATGTACATATAAAATAGAAAGGAGCAAAGGATGCAGCATATCATTCTATTGAAGTATTACACTACATCTGGAACAACATAATTAATAAATTATGCTTGCATGTTTGTTTCATGACATCTCCTGACAAGTACCAATTTGACCACCTTGGGCATCGGCTAATTATCATCTTATCACACAATTCCAATTTTCTTGAATTGGAAATCAAATGAACTGAGGAATCATATCATCTAAACTGCAAATACAAACTACAAGTAGGCAGACACCATCACAATTCAACCGCATTTATTTTATATGAGCATTTTACAATAACAGATCACTCATACGTTGAGATATCAATTAAGCTACTGGTTCTCTTATATTAGCTTGTTTTCCAGCATAGTGTAACTTGAATTCTGAGACTTATAGCCAATCATAGCGATACACTTATCCACCTAGCAATTTATTAAGGCTTTATCAAGCAAGTAATGAAAGCTATATACATTGGTTTCACAGCAGGATGAAAATGGCAAACCATGCAAGGCAAATAAAGGTACGGGGCAAGTCCAGCAAGCAACTAGAAACGAACTGAAATGAATGAAACTAACGAAGGAAACACTACATACGCTAGAGCATGCAAAATACATGGAGCCATGGAGATTGCGTCTCACCTTCTCAAGTCGTTGGAGCAGAGCCGTCTCGCCGACTCCGCGACCGATAGAATTCTGATCCAGCCGGTGTGCCTTCTCGAATGTGTAGAACCGACTTTGAAACCCGCGTCCTCGCTGAGGAGTGCCTACGTACTTTCTTCATAGAAGAAAGATCAGGGTTGCTTTCGTAGTTCTTTTTTGATTCTCCTTTGCGTATTTTTATTTCTCCATTCAACGTCAATTAGTAGCTTGGCTTGATTCAATTCATCCAATTTTTCCATTGGAAGATCTTCCAGTTTTAAATTCATTAATTCATCATTTTTTATGGTATCAATCCTATCATTGAGGAATTTAGTATAATAGGGACTATTTTGCTCATCTCGCCGCAAACTTTCCAGAACCATACGCAACATATTTGGACAATACTCTTTACCGCTTTGCGGGTTTCGTATTGTATTTCCAGAAGTATCATCTTTCCAAAGTATTTTGCCATTAACTGGGCCAGTTAAACGTCTAAGCTCTTCCAGTATGTTCTCCTTTTTTGAAAAAATCTCATTTGTTAAGTCTGTTTTTTCCCCTGGGCTCAAGGACCCAGAAGGATACAAAGTAGTTAAGTTTAAAAATATAATGTCTTTGCCACTCAGAGGAGGACGGGTAGAACTCCCAGGTTCTCCCCGATCCGCCGAAGGGCCAGTGGGTGCCGGATGAATTGAAGGCTCGACGACTACCTCGACCCCAGCAGGGTTAAGGGAGGGCCCGCTACCTGAAGCTGCTGGAAAGCCAGAGGAGTGAACTAAAGAGCCCCGACCCACCATATTATAATTTAAAACATCACTCATGAAAGTAGGATTGGAAGCCACCCAATCCTCCACATACCCGGTCAGCGAGTAACAAGAAGGTGGCACAATTGAGGGTAGGGGGGCGGTCCACTCTTGTGGGGCTGGCGTTGGCGTCCCCTGAACTACTTGAGCTGCCCCCCCTTGTGGCTGCGGTACACTCTCCGCACCTTCGCTATAAATTTGCAAGTAGTTGGCTACTACAGGGAGAAGTTCTGATCCTAACTCCGTCCAAGAAGACACTTTTCTGGAGTGGATTATTATTCCAGCGGGGGACTTCTCCGTACAAAAAGAGAAATGGGAACGAGGCTTCTTGTTGATTCTTTTCCGTTCAAGAATCACTGTTTTCGTGATCGAATGACGAAATAGATATACGAACCGTATAGGATCATTCGCAGGGATGGGATAATTGATTCTTTTATAGTATTCGCATGGGATCGTAGAATCAACTAAGGATGCAATAGGTATTAGTGATCGATCAGCTTCCAGTATGACCGATGACTTTCTATCTGGATGAAGAATAACCACACAATCAGGTTGTTGGTTCAACCCAAAATTGATTTGATTCTTTCTTGAACGGAATTTCTTAGGATTAGCATAAGAATTGGTCAAAAAAGCCCCGATCTTCCATTGAGAATCATTGATACAGCTCCACATTTTTTCCATTATCGAATATATAAAGAAATGATTAGTCTTTAAAAAGAAGGAACGGCCTTTTTTACGAATGAGAGATCCTATAAAATGAATAGCGTTTCGTAAACAAATCAGTGTCTTGTCTGAATCGAGAATAGCAATTCCATTTCTGAAACCACGGATATAGACTTTCAAATGGGTAGCTGCTACCCGACGGCCGAGATGTGCATTCGTACAAAGTAATTTAGTACAGACAGTTGAAAGGATTGTCATTTCCGGTTTTCGTTTCCGGAGATACAGGTGGTAAGTTAGAAATGAAAATAGGTTAGCAGCTGATCTTCTAACCACTCAGAGTAAGTGTAAACATCAAAGAAAGGTGATGACCTAACCAGTAGTTCGAAAGCGCAAAAGTGGGAAGTTATTCCTTAGCCAAGCAAAAGGATACCTACACAACCAGATAATTGATACGATTGATATGCTTGTTCGTTACTTGACATTTGGAGCAGGAAGCGCGGGTTTCAGTAGTCAAGCCGGAGAAGGACTCGTTACCCAAGAAAGCCTGGGCATCACTCCTGTAAAGCAGATCCGGGAAATGTTGCATTTGGAATCGACCAGGGGATCACTCCTTTGACCAGTGTCTTTCTCCGAATAGTAGTCGTCTGCCATCCCTGTTCTAAAAATCAAATAACCCACATAAGCTGGATTGCCAGACCAACCGCGAAAGCCTATAAAGCGTGCCGTCACGTGAGATAAATATCCAAAGAAGCTCTAGGATACGAACAGATTCGATCCCCATTTACTGCTATAGCACGAACGGATAGGTCAGCTCCTGTTTCCCGATCGATAATGTGTAGAGTGATCTAGGTTCTGAAAAGGGAACTTACTTCCACAGCTCAACCCACCCAACTTACTTTACTTTCTTTTAGTGACAATTCGATTTATATGTATACGTCCGAGGGAAGAATCAACGGCTTTCTTCGCCCTCCTACATTCCATTGATACGGGATGGGATCTAGCTCTAGACAGAATTCTTGAAGTGCCATCGGTGAAGGCAAGGCCAATGAGACTACTATACGCGTTTTCCGAGGAGCAACATGATACTTGATTTTCCGTTGGTTTCCAACCCCCCTTCCCTTTCATTTAAGAAAGAGGTCTTCCTAGCTGACTTGAAACTAGATCTTCTTCCGAGTTTCGTTCTCATAGATAGCGTAATCCTATTTCCAAGTCATAGTTCAATGTTGTGTTGCTAAATTGATCCCAAACAGCCTCCTAATATTATCTTATCTGCCTCTTCAGGAAAATGAATATCTCCGGAAAACAAAAGAATCTTTTTCTTAGGATTCAAGGAGCCAGAAAGCGAGTATAACGTAAGTGAAAGGAGCCAGAAAGCATCCCATTGATTCTTCAGAGGGAGATAAATACAAGATCACTGGCTGGCCCTTGTTTCGGCGGCATCAACACAGGAGGTTTCGTCTGGTACTGTTTGATTGAATTAAACACCTTTTGGTGAGCCTCTGTCCACACGAATTGCTCTTTCTCTTTGATTCTGAGCAATTGCCCCCTGCTCCTCAACCGGCCTGCTGTGTTGAAGATGAACCTTCTTAGGAATTCATTTTCCCAATCTGCCATTGCTATTCTTTTTTGTTTCTCGGGGGTGAGGCTTAGCACTTCCTCCTTCCCTGAAAGGTAGGCATGCGGACTAGAGCAGTTAGGTCAGCTCGCAAGGCTCATAACCTGTGAGTGCTGCCCCCCTTGTTAAGGGAAACCGACCAGACGCTTCGCACCTACCTTTCTTCATGGGAACGAACCGTAGCACTATGAAATGAAATTGTTCCGTTAACGCTATCTCAGAGAAGTAGTGCGTAGAGGAGGCTCTTTCCTTCTTTCCAGCCCTTCTCTCTTCTTTCGGGACGTTGAGTATAAGAAAAGCTCCTTTTCTCAAGCAGTAGTTCCGAATCATTAATGTTACATCTCTAAATGAAACAATGCTCAACCTTTTCGATAAAGTACGCTATAAGGAATAACAAAAGATTGATGAATTCATTTCACATCTTTCCATTTCCACATTAGCACTATCGAAAGAAAGCTCCTTGCTTTTCTGATCTCACTGTCAGTAGTGATCATCTAGACATGACATAATAAGTCTATCTAATAAATATTGGAATTGCACGGGCAGACATCCAATGCATTTCGATCACATGAACACTACGAACCCAATGGATAGGGTCTACTCCAGTTGAGACTGATAACATGGATTCAAAACATTTCCCGAGTTGAACCAAGAAAGACAGATAGATGAGAATTGATTCATTTCACCGATGGCAATGAGTCAAGTCCTTGTCTGTCCACCTCTTTGTTTTCAACAGTCTTTGGAGCTTCTGGTACCACTGGTGTGATCTCATTCTTGAATGCTAACACCCTGGTGTCTCCTAACGCTACGCTTTCTAAGCAACCTGAGTGTTCTCTGAACTAGGTGAACAATCCAGGGCGATAGCGTGAAAGGGCCTCGTCATTGCTCATCCAGTGAACTACATTAGCCTGCTCGTGTGGAGCAGGATCTTGCATAACTCTTTCAAATTAAAGGGTTAACTCTTCCGCTTTGTATTTCTCCCCCACCCCAGTCCTTGAAGACCTAACAGTCTTCTATGGTATGGCCAAGTAGTCTAGATACGGAAAATAATTAGGGTTGTTAGAGTGCATTATATCGTCTGGTCTCTTACTATCCGAGCATTTCTTTCCATTTTTGAAAACATCTTGAAAAAAAAATATGCTACGCCCTTTTCTCTTCGAGGTTGACTTCTCCTTTCTTCTAGTGTGGGGCCCTGTGATCTTGCCACCTTTCCAGAATTATGGCAAACGAGAAGCTTCCACGTGTCCTCTCCCGATTCTTTGCTTGCCCCGGGAAGGCGCAAGTAGCCCAACGACAGGCTTGTGTGGAGGACAACACGCAGAGGTCTTTTGGCGAAACTGGGGGCTCTTTGTCTAAAGGAAGGGCAAAGTCAACAGGCCAATCCCAGTTTCAGAATTGGAAGAAGCAGTAGGAGGTTCACCATCAGAAAGGCATGGGACAACAAACTCTCTTAAAGCTTTCTTCGAATAAGTCTTTCTTAACCGGCCTTTACTTAGTTATTATCCTCATAAGTGGTACTTGAGTGGGATTTAATACAATACAATAGCTAGGTGGTGAGTGACGTACTGACATTTATGTGCTGACTGCTAACTTTACTAGAGGATGGATTCTCCTATGAGAAAACACACACTCCTGGGATGACTTCTTTTCTTTCTTCTGAAGTCAGTGTGCTTCTTTACCAGGCATAACATGATAATTCCTCTATGGCGTGTGCTCCTTTCCTATGTAATGACTTTCCTCCTTTTTCATGCCTCGTGCGCGTGCATAAGCTACGAGTTCCCTGACCCACCCTAGTTCATCGAATAGTGAGACTGTTCATTTTTTTTTTTTTAATGAGGAATTGACAACTCTTCTTTTTTTTACTTTATAGAGAGAGAATTTTTCAGCATTTACAATTCATATTAAGCAATAAAATAAGAAGAGACAGCTACATGAGTAGGCGAGCATTCATTTGAGCTGCCTTAGTTCTTCACAAGAAGCAAGCCCCTAAGATAAAAAGTTGTAGTGGGTGTCCTCTTTCCAGATGCGAAAGGCTTCTTTCTCTCTACTCTTTCTAGTGGAGATGCTAAAAACAAATGATTGAAACCTGCTTGCCCTCTGAGGCTTCATCAAAGCTTTCTGGTTACATATGCAAGCAACTATACTGACCCTCAAAATGAACAATCAGTCTATGCCTATCCATTCTAGAAATTGAGAATACAAGTATATGACGCCAAACTTCTCATTACCTATCTGCGTGATTCATCAACTCTTTGAGACAGACGATAAGACTCTTTCCTTTCTTCAAGCTACTAACCTCCCTTCCACTCTCCCACTAATACATTCAAGCACGAACTCCAACTATTGGTAATGCTTGCATCGAGATATTCGTAGAGACTAGCTATAGCCTTTGTGAGTCAGTGTCCTCATTAATTAGCCAATGAATTCACCACGCACCAGGACAGTAAGGAAGGATAGCTACATTTGTCATGCTTTCGTCATTACAAGGGACCTTCCAGTTCATTCAATAAATACAATAGAGTTTGTAAACTTTCTCACTATGGTTTGCTTGGTCATGACCTTGTAAAACCAAGTACTAGTAAAGGTACAAGGCCTTACTTAATCTTATTATGTGCAACAGCCTTATTCAACCTGAAGCTCTCATCCAAATGTTCGTGTGTTGCTATCGGATCGAAATAGAGGTCAGGGTTTGGCAAGAATGCTGCCCTTCGAGAAGTCTTTTTATGTTGGTTCAGTCTCCTTTGTCTATTCTGAAATCTGGTTACTTTTATACAAAAACTATATATTTTAATGGTATAGGCAAAATCACTATAGTTGTATCAGTCAAATCATCTACAGCCGGTTAGACATTTTACTATACTCTACGCGCGAGGCTATTTGCCTTACTTACCAAGCAGGGGATGAGCTATTCATGAGAGTTTGGAGAGTCTATGTATCCATTAGTTTAGCGTATGTTTAGTTACTCGAGTAGTAGTGGAATACTTATAGCCTTAACATTACGAATGTACTAGGATCAGTGTTGCCAATGAGACGGGTATCTCAATCAGTAGACAGAACCTTTATGTATTAGTCAATTCTTTCTATGTTTATTGGCCGGCTATACCATAAAGAGAAAAGTGGCAGAGAAAGCAGCCCTTAGACCAAAGCGCTTGAAGGTAGCAGATATGGAAAGAGTTAGTAATGCTTAATCTTGACATGTGACATATGCGCTTGAAATAATGAAAGTGTTTGCTTATATGGCACTCCTATTTCAGAACTTTCTAAGCTGTTGTTGGTATAGTGAGGATTCCTTTTGAGCAGGTAGGAGTACTGAAGGTAGGAGTACTATGGTGATGAATGATTCCTTTCTTGATTCTGTGGTAGCAACTATGAGAGTGGAGAAGATCAAAGTTAT